TGTTGAATGCAAACTGCACAGTTACATTGCGAGATACCTTGGCATTGCTAACAAGCTATCGCAAAACCAGGTAAGTGTCATTTTTCTCATAAAATTTAAAGTTAAGTCATCTTTAGCATTAGTGTTTGTAGCGGAGTATTCCTAATCCTATATGATATATTATTGATATGTTGTGGTGTACACACAGATAAATTGGATCCTTCATCATGATGAGTTGTTTTCAATTAAAGTTAACTGTGGGCTCGCATAGCCCTGTGGATGAAACGTGGACTGAAATATTTTTGATATTTTGTAGCATCATCTGACGTAGTCAGATGCACGCTTGTGAGAATCGCATGATTGTTCCGTCGTTCCGGAGTCCGTCGTGCGTCGTGCGTCCGCCGTCAACAGATGGGCACAAATCTTAACGTCGACGTACGGTCACGATATTCGAGACATGGGGGGGTAATCCGAAACGACGTTGGGAGTCGACAGCTGGGCGTCAAGGTCAAGAGGTGTAAAAGAAGGGCGGACCATTCTCGCCTTAACTTAGGTATAGGGAAGGAAATGCCGAATTGCGCACAAAATCTAAATCGGCTCATCCTTAGGCTCGTGATAGTTCGTTCTTGCGATCATGGTAGGAAAACCACTCACTGTGCCGAAATTGAGGTCACAGGTCAATGGCGCAGAGGGCAGATTTTTAGCACATTTTCTGGGACATCGGTCTGACGCTGAGCGATTTGAAAAACTTATTTTGTTTCAGCGGTGACTACCATTTTTATGGCTTTATTGACGACCGTACACCTGTATACTTTCCGCTGACATGCGAACGAGTAAGGTGCGGATACCTTTTGCCCTTCAAGAGGAGGGTTAAACATTTGATTTGTTGCTCGAGTTAACAAATGGACTGAAACTGCTTTTGCATATTATTAGAGCCATCCTGTCGTGAATGTGAGGCTACATGGGCCACAGTTGTAATTTGGGCAAACCATATTATTAATTTATTATGTGATTGAAAATAGGAGATTTGGGGATATTTTTTTGGGACAACCAGAAATTGTTGCGGACAACCCGATTTGATGCCTGGGTTGTCCGCAGGACAACCACATTTTTTTTCTTATTTCGAGCACTGCGTTAGGGATTTTCGGATGATAATGTCCTCTTTACATTTTCACGGAGAGAAAATTTCCTGCAGGATTTCACGAGATATCTCTGGCGGGAGTAGGTAAGAGCAAAGGCCAGAGTTATAATTCGAACAAGTGAACATTTATATACACATAGATACCAAGATGGAAGCTGTAGGATGTGTATTCGAGCTGTGATGGTTTAAAATAAAGCGAGCGTCGAACGAATTTTTCAATCCCGCTTTCCTACCTGCTCTCTTAGTCTTATTCATGTTGTTTGTGCACGCAGCACAGGGCGGGCGGGCGTGCGGGGTACTTGTGTGTTGCAGATGAGCATTTGACCGGCATTTACAGGTGATTATAGGCGAAATAGAGTAGAGAAACATTAAGACTTTGGTACATTTCGTGTTTATTTACCATTAATTTGTTTATTGAGATGTTCCAAGTGCCTGTGCTCAGGAAGACCTGTGTAGTCCGAGATTTTTCTGACCAATGCCCACACCATGCTGCATCCAACTGCATTTTGGGAAACAACAGAGTAGCGTATTATTTTGGTAGCGTGGTAGTTTCCCAAAATGCAGTTGGATGAACGATGGATGGCCGATGCATGTCGGAGGGAAATTGTTAGCAACAAATTTTCAAATCGAAATACGACTAAGGTAAAAGAGTACAAGTGTACCGGTACTTACCAACGCGAGCAAGCATATAAGTTATCCAGTTTTTGATCTATCTGCGTCAGATCTTGATTGATAGCCCCAATTGTCAGTTTGGAGCGATGAAACAGCGATCCTCGGCGGGATCGGAGAAATTCCACGTTTTGTATAGACAAGTTGCTCTGACGTAACCCACACCAAATCCACCAAAATCGTCGGTGTGGGCATTGGTCAGAGGAATCTTTCTAACCCACACCAAATCCACCAAAATCGTCGGTGTGGGCATTGGTCAGAGGAATCTCGGACTAAGGAGGGTGATACTCCATTACGGCATTAGGAGTGTTCTCAACTTTAATGTCATTAATGGTCAAACGGACAATCATGCGATTCTACAAGCTGCATCTGACTACGTCAGATGAGCTAAAAATATCAAAAATTTACAGTCACGTTTTATCCACAGGGCTATGCGAGCCACAGTAACTTATGAAAACAATCATCATGATGAAGGACCAATTTATCTGTGTGTACCACAACATATCAATAATTATACATATAGGATTAGGAATTACTTCCTGCTACAAAACACTAATGCTAAAGATGACTTAAACATTTAAATTTAGAGAAAAATTGAACTACCTAGTTTTGGATAGCTTTTAGCACCAGGCATACTCGCAATGTAACTGTCAGTTTAGCATCTACATTCCCCACCCCACCCAAAGTTTGGGCCAAACCTAGCCACAAGTTCCCTTCTCGCTTACACTACGTTTAACTCCTACAACGTGTAACAGTCGGAGAGCCTAGTCAGGCTCACAGGCACTTGGGAGTGTTTCAATAAAATATAATGCTAAATAAATACGAAATCTATTTACTACCAAAGTCTTAATGTTTCTATACTCTCTTTCACCTAGTAATTATTGCCGACAATTTCCTGTAAATGCCGTCCAAATGCTCATCTGCAACAAACACTGGCTGCCGCCATTGCTGCCGCTGCACACTGACACATAAATACATAGCAGGTAGGAAAGCGTGCTGCCGAAATTCTCGCGTTCGCTCCCGTTGCGCAGTTTATGTAAATGGCTGCAAGTACAGGGCTATATAGGCGGCGCACTGCATTTTGGGAAACTACCACGCTGCTTTCCAACTCCCGTACGAGCCTCGTCAAAGTTACCAGTGGAGTGTTGCAAAAACGTTGCAGCGTTGCGGCGCAAAAATGAGGTCACGAAGAGCGCCGTTGGGCGTTTCCTGATTCTGACAGCCATTTACATAAACTGCGCAACGGAAGCGAACGCGAGAATTTCGTCAGGCTTTGTGTGATTTCGCGTGACACAGCTCGGTTACGAACAGACAATATGTTTTTATAACAAGTGAACACTGTTCTTCAAATAGAAACAAAGATAGAGTAGAATGGTTGAATATTTGTGTTGTATTCGTGTGAAATCAAGCAAGCGTTGAGCGAATTTTGGCAGCACGCTTTCCTACTGCTTATATATTTATGTGTCCAGTGTGGCAGCGGCAGCAAATTGGGCGGCAGCCAGTGGGGTGGTTTGTTTGGCAGAGTGAGGCATTTGACGGCATTACAAGAAGAATTGTCCCGGCAATAAATAGGTGAAAGAGAGTATGAGAAGAACATTAAGACTTTGGTAGTAAATAGGATTTCGTATTTTAATTTAGCCGATTATAGTTTTCTTGAAAACGCTCCAAGTGCCTGTGGCTTGTGGTCGGGCTAGGCCCAAGACGCCCATCCGGCCCCCGTTAGAGACAGTTTAGGCTTGGCTTAGGGCCCTTTAGGCTGGCGCTCATAACGGGTCCTAAGTGTCCCGCTAGGATACTCTGCCGGAACGTGTAACCTGGGTATGGGTCGGCGGTTAATACCGGAACATGGGACCCCCTGGTAACTATTTCAATATGGTTAGGTTTAGGATAAGGGCTTAAGGGAAACGTAGGCGTAAGGCGACTCCGCTAAGCACTCGTTAGTGAGTAGGCCCGAAGTAACGGTCCGCATATTAAAGATAGTAAACCAAAGGGTACGTCTTTCCCGGTATACCGACCCGAACCCAGGTAAACGTTCCGGCAAGTAAAACCGGGGGGGGGGGAGAGCATAAAGCAACCCTCTGCAGGCGTCTTGACCTCTCGAAAACCCTCCTCTGACCCTCCCGCCAGAGGCCATGAAATTCCCGGTGCAGGGAAATATTCGGTGTCACCCCTGATTGTTAGATGTATTTGCGGTAAATGTATTTTTACGACTAGTAGTAGTAATAGTAGCTAGTACTACTACTAATACTAATAGTAATACCATATCAGAAAATCAACGTACAAATGTTGCGAATGCTATAACGAAAATCAGATTCACGCCCTGACAGCGCCTTCGGAATAAAAGCTCCTCCCGATTCAGTAGCCGTAGAGTTTGTCAGCCATAGCTTATCATTAAAATACGTATGTTACGTTTCGAAATATAAAGATACGCTTTATTAGTACTCTGTTGATACTGAGTATGAGGTTTATATTTATAATGCTTCTTGGTAAACACGTAAACATTTTGGCTACAGGGGACGCCATAATGGATATCATAGAAATATGGATGCCAAATAGTTAAAAGTACGATTTCGAAATGATAGTGACTAGAAAAAGGTCAGGAAACAATGTGTAACAATTATATATATAATAATATATTTACTAATAAATATCAACCTTTTACATATGTTTAATTTTTTATAAATCGTTTTACATTACCTGCCTCTCCGCGTTTTTTGCATTTGCGCCTAATCTAAAATGGCGTCCCCCATAAAGCTTGCCAAAAAAGCTATTCGGAACGAAATTAAACGACGTATTGCCTTATTAAGTGAAGAAGAAAAGAAGCAACAGTCTGAAATTGTGTGCGACAAGGTATAACGATTATTATAGTATTAGGACACGTTTTCAGCAGTTCGGTGCTTCGCCCGAGTTCAACCACAGGCACTTGAAACGTTTCAATAAAATCATAGATGGCCAGAAAAATCAATACGCAAATATAATACTAAACTGAGTAGTAAAGTACTAGAAAATTCTTAAATGAAACAGTAATGTCTTCCTTTTCACCGGCTATTATTGCCGACAGTTTCCTGTTTTCATTCGCCGTGTAAATGCTCTTAACTGCACACACACTGAGGGAAACGCCCGTCATTGCTCACTGTGCACAGTGGAGTCGTTAATAATAATATATCATATCTTACACCCTTGTTGCCAACAGTGGAGCCCAAATGGCGGGCCGTTAGTGTGTGGGTGGGGCATAGCGCATTTTACCACGGAATTGAGCAGGAAAAACTGTCCCGGCAATAATAGGTGAAAGGAAACATTATGTTTTCAATTAAAGGAACTTTTGTAAGTCGGCTAGTAATTCATATTTCGTAATTAATTTAGCATTATATTTTATTGAAGAAAGTTGGAATTATTACCCGAACCGTCGGGCGCCGCGCCAGTGAAGAAAATCGAAATTCGGTACAACGACCGTGGAAAGCCGTCCCGATGCCATTACTGTGGCATTTAGCCCAGAATGCTTCAAAGTCTGGAAAATAGTTGGACAGAACCGCAATTCCCAATAGAGGATTTTTTTATTTTCCTCTGCCCTTTTTCTCCTGTAATTTTCTTTATATTGTATTTTGGTTGTTTACGTTTCGTTGGCGCCATTAAAATTATATTTGGTTTATTTTTGGCATTAAAATTGGTCCCCGCCTATTATAATTATTTTATCCTTTTGGTTTATGGTTTTCCGTCCGCTATGGCCCAAACCCGGGGACCGCACTGAAGAAAATTTCCGAGCTTCGGCAACACTCGACCCGGTGAACGTCCCAAATCGATTAAGTGCGCCAGCAGAATGCGCAGGGCAGGAATAGAAACATGGCCGGGCCCAATCTTTTCTAGTCAATGTTTTTTC